TCTTGTGTCTGCTACTCCGGCCGAGTTCACATGATGGCCTTCCGCTGGGTGGGAGAATCAGCTCAGGTCTCTGCTTTGCGATCTGTTTTCACGGAGTTGAAGATCTCCAAGATTTCCACACCTTGACAGACTTGCTTCAAGTTAGCTAATGAGTTGCAAGAGTTACTGAGGGAACTGAGAGGAGACAGGCTGGCATACGCAGCAGCATCAGAGCAGCTTTACTTTTTAGGCTAAAAACAGAGGCTTGTCTGGAGGGTGCCACCATTTGAGGACACAGCCCATAAATCCTTCATATAAGCTGAAGTCAGCTTAGCTTTTTGCACTTTACACTCCAAGATGCGACTGCCTGTAAGAGTGAGCTGGTGGCTGGTGTCGTGTCTGACCAGCACCTGGGCCACAGACCTGCTGATGCCTTGAGCGATAATTTTATTGAATAGAGCAAGTCTCTCGGACCATAATTTAACGGTAGACCAGGCCGATACATAAATCTGTTAACACGATTGATTCAGATTCTCTCCGTTCTATTTTATTTACCTTAAAAAGGGGCACAGAGTGACACAGCGTCGAAACATCACTCGAGCTTCTGGTCCAAAACGGATTACTCCACAAGAGATGGGAGCTGACCTAACAACTGAGTTGCCCGTACGGTTGTTAACCCTGGCCAAGGATGAAAAACCAGAAGATATGACTTCTACCCAGGCTCTCTCTGAATCTTACAAATACTAATTCTTCGTGAAGCTGGGATTTTAAAAATATGGAAGGAAAACAAACTGAAAATGCACAAGACTGTTGAGCTCTTTAAAGAACAGTGGCAACAGCAAAGATAAACAGCTTGATGAAAGTCATACTCGTAGGAACTAAGGAGCAAAGGAGCAAAACTTTCTTTTTTTGGATGGAGACAGAGGATATCATGATCACATGAGGGCAGGAAAGAGGCAAACTAGTGACAGCTTTGCACTGCATAAGCATGAACTCAAAACTGAAGGGGAGACCAGTGCAACTCCTCAAACAGGGCCAGGAGGAAATACAAGAGATCTGCGGGCAGACGGATCCTACCCGTGAAGACCTCTGCTACCATCTCCAAGGTGCAGCACCAGTAAAGGCTTCTGGCACCAGCCATCATGAGAAAGAGCCAAAGGAAGCAGCAGACTGAGCTGAGGGACTGGAGAGGGGATGAGAGGAAGGCCAGACCCCGAGGCACACGCAACAGCCACGTTGCTCAGTTCCCAAATTGACACTTGATACTTGCCACTATCACTCCCTCCTACCCTCGCTCGTCTTTATTGAGTGAACAAGCAGCGTAGGTGATGCCTTCACCATTGTCGGGAGAACCAACAATGAAGTCCGTGGGAGAACCAACTCCCAGCGTTGTTGGGAGCTAGGTGGTTGGTAAGCCATTTGGCCCAGCGCCTCCTCTATCCGACCAAATGCAAGAGTGCAGCGTTCAAGAAGGACCAGTGGTAGAGTGCTTGTCGCCACCCTCACAAGAGCCAGTGTCCTCTTGGTGGGCTGTGAGGACTGTCGCAGTAACACAGCACAGGTGCCCATGGGATGGGAAACCCTCTGCCATGCCAGAGTCTCAAGTGTTTCCTAGGAGACTCACCTCTGCACAGATGTTGTAAACGTTTTCAGAGCTTTTCACTTGAGGAAAATTTGCTTTATCTCACTGAGGGGCCAAAACTGATGTCAGCTGAGCGTCAGGCCCATTCGTCCATGGTAACACGGTTGGTATTTCTACCGCATTCTGCCCTTAGCCTCATAGTCTTGGGAAAATAAATCTCCAGCCTCTGTTCCAGGGGCTGCGCAGACCCGTCTGCCTCACTAGCATGTAGTTATTCCAACCGCTGCTGCCTTGGGACCCCAGCGAATAATTGGTGAGCATTTTCATCCGTCTGCCGCTTCCGATCTTTTCAGTCAGCATTGCTGCAGCTGGAGCTCTGGGCCTGAGATATGACCATGGGCACTTCCACAGCCAGAAACCTAAGGAGAAGAAGGGCATCCATCCCCGACTCCTCCACTTATTCATAATTCGGAACAAATTACTGGCACAAGCACAGAGAGGGGTGGAAAATCTCAAATCAGCGCCACCGCTCCGAAGCGCAGCCAAGAGGAATCCCACTGGCCGAGGAGAGCATTAAGACCAGGACATCATGGAGCTGCGTTAACAGTTTCTCGGCACGCCTTACACAGGGCTGGAACGAGAACCCAGAAATTAGAAGGACCAAATTGCAAACTTCTTGTTGGTTACTCGATGCATACTCCAAATAGTACCTCGCACATCAGGCAAGGAGCTCCTCTCCACTGGGAACAGTTTTGTTATCGGACGCCAAATTATTAAACCTAATTCCCTTCTGCTGTGAGCAGGTGTGGGTTTACCAGGAGCTAAGCTGGCTCTGGCTCTCAACTAGCCCTCAGCTGCCTCTCCGCCCAACCAGGGAAGTAACAACCCGATCTGTTCAGCACAGATTTCAGCCCCTCTGAAGAATGAAGAAGAAAAACATCCCAGCCTTGGCCAGCCATTTGGCTTCTGCAGGTAGGCAAGATACTCACTTCCAACTTACGCATGGAAAAACCTAAGCATGGAGATACAGCCTGCAAACTTGCAGTTAATAAACAGCAAGAGACAAGAAGGGTAGGGAGTACCAGAAAGGCTTTTCTGCAGGGCAGGGAGTACCAGAAAGGCTTTTCTGCCGTTCTCCAACCTAGACAGCTCTGCTAGAGAGTGGAGGAGGGAGCTTATTGCCTGCCGAGATCTGCGCAACGACAAGCAGCCGTGCCAGCAATATCAGACCTCTCTCTAACACGATACCGTGCCTTAACGTTATTTGCTCAATCTCTTAGCCATCTGCTGGGAGCCGCTGCCTCCCTCGGATGCTTCATTTTCCGTGTCCAAACTTGGAGTGAGATTATAGATATGTATCTTGCTAATGATTTTTTGGAAGCGGGAGAGAGGGTCTATGAAGGCAGCCCTATTTTCGCTGCTCATGCTGAATGACGGTTCAGTAATTCCAGACATAAAGCTCGATAACCAAACACGCGCACGTCTATTTTAAATTACTGAAAGACTCCTCAGCTGGTGTATCCCCTTTGCAGCGCAGGCAATTTGCACTAGCCACAGATCTCTGCCACAAACTAATTGTTCTTCATGTGTGCATTGTAGGTATCGCAAGATTTTATAATCACTGCGGCGTGTGCGATAACAAGCGCTGCAGCAGCTCAGTGGGCCAACTCCCACATTAATACGTTAAATAAATAAATGTGGAAGCAGAGAGGCAGAATTTAATAAAGGAAAGAGAAGACCTGGATTAAACGAGACTGCATTCACTCCACAAAGCCTGCACTCGGCAAAGAGGAGGTAAATCAGGCCAAACCCCTAGGCAGGCAGAAGAAAAACATCACGTAGAAAATTGATGATTTTTTTTTTTAAATTGAAGGTTTTAAAATCTGCATATAAACACTGGTGAATGAAACCAGAATTTCTCTCTGTTTTGTTCACTGTCTGTCTGTTTACCATTTTACCAACTTGAATGGCTGATATGGATTCTTAGATCTGTTCTTTTAAACAACTTTTCCAACTGCTTTAAAAATTTCAGGGCGTAACAGAGAGAAAACCAAGAATTTGGTTCTCACTGCTGGTTCGTAGTGCATAAACACAGCGCTGCTAAGCAGAACCAAGAAAACACATCTCTGCTAACGACGTGTCTCTCAGGAAAGAGATCTATTAAAATAAACACAATTTTGAATAATCCAGTAGTAGTTCATAGCACAAGCACTCCTTCTCACTCCAGAGAAAAATCTAAGAAAAGCAAACGCTGCAGGCTCAACGCATGGAGCTGTTCCGAGCCAGGACGTGTTTCGGATGACCAAGGGAAGGATACTGATGAGCGTGCTGAAGGCCACCAGCGATCCCCCAGCAGCACGCACCAGGAGAGTATCCTCCCATCTCATGCTGTTTATCTCGCCAGCCCCTGCTCCTTGGGCACAGCCCTTTGCAGCGAGCGGAAAGGTTCCCACGGCATTGCAGAGGCTTTTGAGCAGGGCTGTTTCCATGCTGCCACGGGGCTACCGTTGACATTTCCAGTGTTT